GAGGGTGCTAAGCTTCAACTACCACCAATTAAGAGCTAATTACAAACAAATTATATATGTGTTTTGCTGTGGGCTTTAATTTACTAAAATGGTTTTAATTAAAAGAGAAAACATGCTGATTAATTGAACTGCAGAAAAAATCTACAGTATAAACTACGCTTTGTCTGTCTCTTTAATTAGACTTGTAACATCTGAAATCTTTTTTTAAGGTTTGTTAAAAGCACAGATAAACATAACTAGAGCAGAGCACAAGGAACGCCATTCTAGGTGATCATCCACTCAGAGCCCAAAGGTTAAGAGAAAACATCCTCCATGCCATGAGATCTTAGCAAGCCCACCTAAAAACCCGCGAGAAAAACCCACCACCTGGTGCCATTCTTATTTTTCTCATGTTAAAATGCTCCAACTGCAGGGCTGCACACCATGTTTTGTGGGAAGGAACCTATCTTGAACCTCGATGTAAAGGAATTCAGTGAAGCCATCCCTTACCTGCAAAGGAGTAGCTTCTTTTCCATACACTGTTCTAACTGCTCACCTACATGAAATAACTGGACTGCGTACAGGATACAAAACCATACACAGAGGAGCGTTTACATTAAGAAGCCACCGAGGAATGACCAGTTATCCCGAAAGTGCGTCCGTTCCAGGGGGTCCCTGACGGACACACACCCTCTGGTAGCAGGAGAGAGCGCCCGCTGGCCCGGGGAGCTGACCGCTCTGCTGACCAGCAGAAACCTATCGAAAGAGTGAGGCTCTTCTCTCTCCAGTATCCTGCGTTCTTTCCCATGGGTAACCAGTGAGATGCACCACAGAGAAAATGGTCCTAAACAACACTAACTGGAAAAAGGATAGGATAGAGCAGTAAAATTTCAAAGAAGGCCATAAAATGTATTTTGCCCGAGTTTGCAGGCATGAGATGACTTTGTATGAAAGAATGTATTCTTCATTATTGGTACAGATTAACAAAATAATCTCATTTCTACAAAAATAAAATGTCTAAATGGAGAAATTTTACATTTTTAATATATAAAAATGAGTAATATTTAACGCACTTTTACTTTGTTCACACAGTCCTCAGGGGCTAGAAATCACGATAATTAAGAAAATGAGAAGCACCTGCCATCCTTCACAAAGCTACAGGTTCTGCTGATAAACTCTCCCAGCAGCTAACAGGAATGTGCGTCCAGCTTCACACCTGAGCTGTTTTACCTTGGAAATGTGGTTGGTAAGGTGCTTCCACCTGGAGAGAGCGCTCAGGACGACGGAAGGCGGTGCCTCTGCTCTCTGGACCACAGAACAGAGGGCTCAGCGCCACCGGGCTTCCTCCAGCGCGCACGCGCTCAGTGCCGCTTCCCCCCGTGCGCGGCGCAGACGCCTCCCCTGCGAGTGAGAGCTCTGCAGCTGCCCGGGGGAACGTGCCTTCGAATTCACCAAGTCTGGCGGCACCTCCACTCCAAAAATCTAAACAAATGTTTCAACTCCGAACTCTGGATACGATCACGCTCCAGGCACTCTGATAGCTAACCCTGTCAAACTCATATTATTTGGGAAGGGTTTTGGAAGGGTTTGGGATGGGGGGGAGGGGGCGAGTAAGCCAAGCCCTCACTCCATCAAGACAGCATGGCGTGCACACCCAGGTAAAACGAGCACCCAACATAAAACAAAGGGGGTAAACTGCAGCCGGCATCCTCGGGGAAACTGAAGCCCAGCAGTGCACGGCGTGCTGGAGGCCTGCCCTGGCACCCGCAGCACTTCTGACAAAGGACCACTTCTTAGACGTTGACATAAAATGCAGCAACTACCTCTTCAGATGGATACACACCCCCCCTCGATGAGAACGCCTTCAGATTTTCTAGGAAACTGCTCTACAGACAGAGTTCATGCTACAAATTAATAACCTGCCCAAATTTAGACAACACTTAATTTAGCTAAGAATATAACTCAATCAATTCAAACAGTATTTTTTTTTACAAAACCATCCTACCTTTGTTATTTTAGTAGTAACAAATTATTATTTCAACATTATTGACTTTACCTATGTTTTGGAATCCAAGCATTTGTGCAGTCTATTAATATATTTAATAAAAATTAAAATTCTTAGTGTAATTCATACTGCCAATATAGTATTTTTATATCTATAAAAAGGCAATATTAACATGGAATTGTTTAGAACCATTTATACTTGAGACCTTAATTAGGTTCTAAAAAAATACCGTGCCCAGCAGCACCGGCAGCGGAAGTCACTGCCTTTGGCCCGCATTCGTTAACCCAGACAAAACCTTTAAAATACAAAACATTTTCTATCACTGCTCAAATTGAAGGGCTTTGGCCTTAGCAAAGATGGCAGCGAATTATAACTACAGTACCTCGGATGTGAATAGTAATACTCTGCAAATGATAAAAAGTACCAGAGGAAAACAGATTGCTATCAATGAATGGAATGTACTCCAATTCCGGCCTGAGGGGGACAAGCCACAGACACGCTTAAGTACTTTTGTGTGTGACTGTTGTGTGTGTAAGAGTAATAGTATTTTTTAAAAGGCAACTTGTTTAGCAATTTCATCAACATGACACAAACCCAAGTATATTTTTCACTTCGTCTCTCTTCCAAGACCATTAACAACAAAGAAGCATTTAATCAACCAGAGGGAGTTTCAAAGCAACCACATTACTACGTGGGCAAAACCAAAGATAACAAAGATAAAAGCACAACCCAGGCTGCAGACACGTGAACTTGAGCCGCCGCCACCCCACACCAGATTACATGCCTCCTTAACGCCGTCGTCAATTTCAGGGATCGGGGCTCTGGGAAAACACGCACTGGCTGCGTCCCCACGGCAGTGGACCGACGGTCTTGTTTGGGCTTCTTTTTGAGGAACTGTTTCTAAGGACCAGCCTCAAACATGGTTCTACTCCTGGCTTCATTTTTCTCCATACCGATTCTGCCCTATTGGTTTCAGAGACTTATAAATGTTAAACATCAAAAATTAGTTTCACTTATTACGGTCAGAAAAGGCTTTAAGAACTCTGGGGTCTGTGCCTCTGAGCAAAGGCTTTATCAGCTGGTCCCAGTCACTGCTTCCTGAAAAAAGAAAGGCTCCTGATGAAAAACCTACATACCTGGCTCCAAAAGGACGCCCACCATGCACGCATACATTTAATTCACGAAGGGTTCCGGCCCTAAACTCGCAGCTACGTACTTCACAAAATCACGTCTCATCCCCGCGGTGCGCAGGAGACACCGAAGCGATAAACACGAAAACTGAAACCCCAGACTGCACTGTTCGTTCGGGAACTCCATCTTGGTTCCCTTAGTCACTCTTCACGGGCACCTAATTAACACGGCATCGGTGTCCTCCCCGGGCCTGTGTCTGCGCAGCAAACACTTTCCAGATGTCTTTCCACTTCCACAAAGACAAGAATAGGACCCAAATTATTGTTTCTCTTTTCATCAGGATTCTTTAGCCCCACACTAAATAAATTTAATTTCTTGTACTAGAACAAAGCATTACTTTTGTATGGAAGTAAAAAGAGCACTTGAGAATAATGTTTGCTATCCTTACAAAAGCTGAAAATATCATGTATTTCTGGAGCAATCTCATCTGTCAGAAAGTGAGGCCGAAAACACCCCTTACCGTGGAAACTACCTCGCCTGTGTTCCCCAGTTCCCTCTTCGGAATCGGCAGTGTGACACACCGGAACGCACCACCAGAAACCAAACACCCTCCGAAGACGGGCACACACGCCGGAGGCCTCCCAGGCACTGCGCCTGCACCTTCTCACCGGCAGCTCAGCTCAAAGGGCAGGGAGAGGAAGGCTCCTGCGCGAGCAAGGGTGAGGCCGACGAGGTGGAGCTAACGGGCCACCGCGGCTCGCCACCAGGCCACCGGTGACCCCACCTCCTCCCAGGGCGTCACTGAGGCGGCAGGGGAAAAAGACAACTTTCCGAACCCCTAAGCCTCACTTCTGGACCTGTTTTTCCCCACACACAAATGTAAACCTCACAAGGTTCTTATGGCCAGCAGCCATCGACAGTCATCGAGGGTAGATTTTTGACATCTGATGATGTAAGTGCGAAATAATAATTCCGCAGAGAAATTCATTGAGATCGTAATTTCACCACTAGTCTCAGAAAAAATGCTCGCCTCCGGGTGAGCAAGAAAGAACAGTACATACAGCCAGCAGTTGATACAGATGATGTTTCCCTGAAATCGAACACCATGGAGTAGTCACAGCTTAAGAATAAAATGCAGAAGGCAGAGACGCTAAAAGTGAAACCTACGGTAGAACTTCTGTCCTAGGAAGAACAGAAAGAACAAACAGCAGCAGCCATGACAAACCACACGCCAGCACGAGCCCCGTTCGTGGGGCCTGGCCTAGGGACCCTGAGCGGCGAGCCCCAACGCGAGGAACATTCCCCTCCGAAGGGGCGGGAGAGTCAGGTCTCCCAGAAGTCTACGTACTTGGAAAAAGAATACTCAGCATGTCTTGTATCTGTTAGTTTTCTTCTACAGACTATAGGTTAAAGAAAAGACGGTCTGAACACTCTTCAAGGCCGAGGGAAATGCGCGGAACGTGAAGGGAAAAGCACTTTGGGGAGCAAGAGTCAGAAAGGCACTGCGCCCCGAGGGCGAGCCAAACTGAGTTAGAGATGCAAACAGAGAGAGCGAGCTGGCCTTTCAATCATACCGGGCAGAAAGCTCTCTGAATTATGTAAAATCTAGGGTGGAATATCAACCACGGATTATTTCCACTGCACGTTTTAAACTTAATTTAGAAACAAAAATGTTTTTAAATAAATGGCAGAACATGAGAGAAGGAAAATTTAGAAACAAAAATGTTTTTAAATAAATGGCAGAACATGAGAGAAGGAAACGGGCTGAAAGGAAAAATCTTAGATCAAATATCTGAATGCTGAGCTTACTTAGGCTCACAAAAGGAATGTGCGTTCGTTTTAGAAAATCTGGAAATACAGAAAATGCGTCATCAGCCCGACTTACGTCTCGGGTGGCCAGCTGGTTGCTGAGTTCCTCCGCCTTCTCAATATTCCACTCGTCCACAGCCTGGTCGATGCGCTTTTCAAGGCCCGACTAGAAAGAAAGAAAACCCAAAACTTTAAAGTAGGAGAGAAAGGCGAACAAGAATTTGCTAGCAAAGACTAAGTCTCAGGGCCACACCACACACATCGCACACTCAGGCCACCTGTCTCAGGGCCACACTCAGACCGCCTGTCTCAGGGCCACACTCAGACCGCCTGTCTCAGGGCCACACCACACACATCACACACTCAGGCCACTTGAGTCCCATGAGGACACTACACGGCAGCTGGCACCAAACCATTCACTGACAAGGCAGCAACTCAGAGACATCGATGGCTTACCCAAGGGCATAAACTTCTCAGACTAAGAAAAATGAAATAAATCCAGGCTTTTGTGACTCCAAGGCCTATACTCTCTCTAGCTAACAACAGTCATGTAAATGATAATAGTCAGAAATTATGTGACAGACCCTGGGCTGACACTCTAAGAAAGCTCATTTAATCCTTACAACGCTATTAAATAACACTGCTCTCCTGTTTGAAAGGAGAAACAGAGGCCTGGGCTCACGGACTTGGCCAAGGTCACCGAGTCTGTAGGTGGTAGGTCACAGCAGGACTGATGTCTGTCCGTCCTCCCCTCTGCCCCTCCCGCAGCCCGACACCTTCACTCAACCGCCTCTCCCAGCCTTCGACTGCGGGGGTCCCGGCTGAGTATCAGGCATGGGAAGAAAATTATATATGAGAATGATTTTATTTTCCAACGGAAACCTTTTTATTTACTAAAGATACTTCAGAAAAGCATAATTAAAACTTTCATGGAATTACCAATCATGTAGGATTCATCATGTATTTATGGAAAGACGCTTAGACTTAAATAATTGAGGTTTAGCTTGTGAAAGTTACTACAGAAAAATTAATTTTTTAATGGTCTAATACATGCTTCTCACAAGAAAATTTTACCCTAACAACGGCGTATCTAGCACACCCTTTAACATTTTCAGTTAACCGGCGTCTCCTCCCTTATCCAATACAAGACGACCCGCAGACGGGCCTTCCGCCGGTGGGCTGCTGGACTGCACCCGCCACCGAGCGAAACGCCATCCCCCTGGAGCCTCTGTTGAAACGAGACTTTCAGAACACCCGCGTACACAGCGTGGAGACACACGCACAGACACCGAGAACAGGCTGCCGCTCACGGGACGGGGGAGGGGGCTGGGGGCGGGAGGGGGGGGGAGGCGAAGGGATGGAGAGGCGCAGGACGCCAGTTACAAAGACAGCCATGCGGACGGGAAGGGCGGCACAGAGAGCACAGTCAGTAACAGTGTGATGGTGATGACGGGTGTGGGGTCCGGTGGGAGCCGGACCGACCGGGGTGACCACCTGGTCAAGTGTTTGGGGATGGCCAAAACGTTCATTTGGTTTTTCCAATAAGGTGGCTCTAGTAGCACTTGGCTGTCTTTTACTTCATTCAAAACAATTTTGTTTGATTGTACTGTGGCAGCTGTCATATCAGCACGCATTTTAAAAACAATATCAAAATTGGTGAATATTTGTGTAGCCATTTTAATATTGAAGATGGAAGAAAACACACATTTTCAGCACACTATCCCTTATTATTTCACATAAGGTGAAAACACAACTGAAACAAAAATAAAGAAGGTACAACGAATGATCAAACATGTCCAAAGTGGTTTATGAAGCTTTCATACTGGAGATTTCTCGCCAGACAATGCCCCACGGTCAGGCAGACCAGTTGAAGCAGAGAGTGATCAAATCGGAAAAATGTGTCTTTTATGGAAAAAACTAAACGGACTTTTTGGCCAGCCTAATATAAGTATCTAATCACCATGTTGTACACCTGACACTAATACAAAATTGTACAACTGTAACTGAGTAATAAATTTTTTAAAAAGTACTATTACTTCAGTAGATTAAATGGGCTGTTAGTTTCTGAATCACAAACAACTGTCTGTAGGCTTCAATTTATCGCTCCACCACGGATAAATACGATACATTTTTTCCTTAGACTATTTTTACTGTTAGCAAAAATGGGATAAAGTTTATACTGTCTAAATTTGAAAAAATGCCCACACATAATCTGCCCCAAAAGATTACAGACACAAAGACCAGTGAGGGTGTCACTGATGTCCACGTTAAATGAAGACTGTTCCTTCTCAAAATCTCTCACCCACTGAAGGATCTCATGGGATGACACATTTCCTTGTTCTCAAAGGCAGCTTGAGACCGCCATCCAGGGGCCCCTGGGGCCTCTCACCCTAAGCCATGTGGCCCTGTCCTCTTTCCATTCCGGTCCTGAGATCACCTATCAGTCCCAGACATTACCCTTCCTTGCAAATCTGCAGAACTCTTCTCCAGATGGTCCCAAATAACACCTTGGACTCACCTTCCAACATCCTTCATCGTTCCTATTCAGGGACTTCTAACTGCACCCCACCTTGGCAGTCTATGCCCTAGGCCAGTGCCCCTCCCAGTGTGGCCTGGGCACCAGCTTTGGTCTGCAAACAGTCCCAGTTCGTGAACGGAGCCTGTTGTGCCGGAATGCGAATCGATTACGTGACTATGCAGTTTTGTCCAGCTGACTCATTTTAGGGGAGGAGAAACGAGAAAGGAGAACAAGACTCTCTCAAATAAGGACGTAGGACACCGAACTGCACCCAGGCACGAGCCCCTTCTCTCCTGGAAGACTGCAAGTCTGAGGGCGCCTGCACCAGGCCCCGTGACAGACGTCACCAGACGTTCCACTTCCGGACCTCACACTCCGGGATTCTTCCTAGAGGCGAGTTTCTGTCCTTCCACGCATCCCAAGTGTTCGTAGCCAGTGAGCCTGAGCCTGCCCTGTCTGCATTTGGAACCCCACACCCTGACACCCCCACAGTCATCCTCAGTCCTTCAGTCCCTTCCTGGATTCTCTTTCTCCCTCTCCGGCCTGCAACCCACGGCTACCCTTTTCTCACTGAACTGAAGCCAGGAGTTCTCAAAGTCCGAGTCTGGCCCAGCAGCATCAGTAGTGCCTGGGGGACTTGTCAGAGATGAAAAATCTCTGAATGAGAAGCTCGGGGTGGAGCCCGACAGCCCGCTGATTGCGAGCACGCTCCAGTCCTCCAGTCTGTGAGCTACCGACCCAAGCAATGCCTTCCATTCCCTGCGTCTTCTCTTGCTGTGGCATTTCCCACCCATTTCTTTCTGCTACTTGAACAGCTAGGTGTCTCAGCGATGTTGGGGAAAATCAAGTAACTCAGTCCGCTGGTTTCACTGAAAGCTGTTTTTCAAACTTGCAATTCTGTCCTTCAAAGTTCCCACATTCCTCTAAGGAACTCCTACATGTCTCTTCCGTTTTTCCAAATACCCCAAACCCTGCCTCCTCCTCCCTTTCTAGCAGATTGTAAGTCTGTCCCTACTTCACGGGAGGCCGAGGCAGAAGAGCAGAGGGAAGAGAAGAACCAAGGCTGTGTGTGTCCCTTCTATAATCTTCCGCTTATCCACCTCCAAAGGCGCCATCTTCCTGTACTCTGTCCTCTCCCCTCACCGCCTCCGAGAAAGCAAGCTCTCTCCCCCCTGGTGAACTCATCCCGCCACCCTGCTCGTCACAACCCCATCTGCTCGCGGGCTACCGGGGGGGCCGCTCTCTCCAACATGTCTCCCCGCTCTCTTCCCCTCTCTCACTCTGCACGCGGCTTCTCCCCCGCACTCTGGACCAGACGCTGGATGGGAGGACTCAGCCCCTTCCCTCAAACTGGTTTCTTCTTAGGTTAGTACTTCCTCTCTCCCCTAAAACATAGTATCAGTCGCCCCCACGTGCGCCATCTTTCTAACCCTAACCCTCCGCAGTCACAGGTGACACCATCCGTCATCCGGCTCGATCATCTCTATGTTAACTACATCCTCCTTCTTAAAGCTATCTCCCCAAGTACCCATCTTCAATATCCTCTGAAGCCCCTCACCTCCTCTTTGTGGCCCTTAACTGGAGTGATCCTGGGGGTTCCGTGACAGGCCTTTTCTTCTTCCTCATTCTCTCAGTAACGCAGTTCCAGGGCTTCAATTAATTCTTACAAGCTGCTCTGTACCCCCACACAATGTAAAGCATCTGACCGCTCGCTCACCTGTATCAAGATCTACAGCTCCAACTGCTTGCTAGTTCTCTTCACACTGACAATGTGGATCTTCAATTTCCATCGTGTCTAAAAACAAGCTCCTCACTCCCGCCCGGCCTCCTTCAGGCCGACCACCCCTTAGTCGCCCTGATAGAGCCCTCGCTCGCCAGCTTCAACGCCTCCAACCCTGCACTCTCGCTTCTCCTCCTGTGCCTCTCCAGGGCTTCGTGATCTCCTGTTGGAAAGATTATAACCATCTCCCAATTGGCCTTCCAGCTTTCTGAAGCAGATACCATGTCATCACCCAGCTTAAGGCAGTGTCGCTTCCTTACTCCTTCTGAATAGCATCCAGGCCCCTTCACAAAAATGTCTTCTCTGCCCCGGCGTGGGCCACGTTGTCCTTCCTGATCTCTGGCCACATGTACTGTTGTCTTAGCATCCCCTGTGCCTCTGATGTGCTTCCATTGGAAAATCTTGGTCATCCTTGTAAGTCTTGTGTCAAATGTCACCTTCTCCACCTACGCAGACACCCCTCACCCCTGCCCGGCAACTAACTGCTCCCCGCCCTGCGCCCTCGCTGCATTCCCGTCTCCCCTCCGCACCCGCTGATCTGACACACCGCAGCAAGCTGGGTGTGCGTGTCTGCCCTCTCGGGCTCCATGCTGAGGGCGGCGCACGTGTTACTGGCTGGGTGCGTCTCAGCTTCCAGCCCAGTGTCTCTCCCACAGGGACCACCCCTCAGCCTGTGTCACTGCTGTGCAGTGACCCACCTCAAATGGGAAACATTTATACATAGCCACTACTTTCACAAGTTCTCAAGAGAATTCCACACAGTAATATTAGGGCAATAGTGCCCTATGGTTAAAAAAAGTCAAATTTTATTGCACTTATTTATATATGAATCTTCCTACTACTAGAATATACATTCCTTGAGGGCATG